CAAGTAATAGCTAATCATACAAAAAAATTACAATTACCTATAGATTTAGGAAGAATACCTAATAAAATTGCAACTGGAGATGAATTTTCAGGATTTATTGCAGATTAGTGAAAATCTTTTATTTTATACTATGCAATGGCAATAATGTGGGATCTTTTAGAAGATTCTGATCGACAAATTTTAGCTAATTTTGTTAGGGCTTATACTTTGCTTGTATCGCATATTATTGATAAAAATATATTAGATGAAGCAAATTATTGATTGTGAACAGTTGCTCAACTAGTTGAAGAACATTATGGATCAGAAGCAATAACATCTAATATTCATTTGTCACTTCATATAGTTGAATGTTGTTTAGATTATGGTCTTTTGTATTCGATTGTTGTTATTTATTCGAAAGAATGAATGGTGTTTTAGGATCATATAAGAATAGTAAGCACTAGATAGAAGCAGAGCTACTAAAAATTATAACACAAACCTGGCAATTGGAATATTTAATTACTAATTCAAGTTATAGTGAATTATTAACAGCACTTTAATTACTTACTCTACATTCTACTGTTGAAAGTTTGGCAATGAATGATAATTTTGAAACTGCTGAATTGCATCAATTTTTAATGATATATAAGTTAGAAAGTGAAATAAATACTAGTATTGAGAATTTCTCTGGTAACATCAGGAAATTTTTAAATAAGGTATATATCGATAACCATTGGCAGGGGTAATTGGCATCGATTTATATCGATTATAATTGATTATAATCATTCAACTCTAAATGATTGCAATCGATTAGCATCGATTATAATCGATTGCAATTATTTAGATTTAAATGATTACAATTGATTATAATCGATATAAATTGATGCCAATCACCCCTGCTGATGGTAATCGATATATACCTTATTTAAAAATTTCCTGATGAAGATGATGAATCCAGAGAATATACAAGTAGTCTTGACCGATGATATTTACTATTTATTAGTCGATTATTACAATAATTATTATAAATCAACTTTTGTTCCTATTAGCGAACTCGAACTATCAACAACTGTTCATCCACTTATAAATCAATTTGGACGTATTCGGATTGGATCAGAAATATTCAGATCAAGTATAATACCAAAATATCAAAAAAGTTCATATATTTTAGCAAAATTTATTTAAGAAAATGAAGTTGCTGAATTGTTTCTTGGGCAGGTCCAATTTTATTTTGAGTATGAAATACCTTTAAATGGTAAAAAACATGTATACTATTTAGCATATATTAAGTAGTTTTTGCTGGCTCAACATTATAAAACCCAATTTCATTACCAAATTGATAATGATTTACAATGTTGTAATATAGAATTATAGAAAAAAGAATTTTATACAATTAGCAGAGATTCTATTATACTAATTCATAATATTTATAGCTGTTTTATACCTTTTGAACTTTCTCTAGATAAACATAGTGTTTGTACTCAGGTCAAGTATTATTCAGTTTACTCGTGAGTAATCAAATAACTGAGTAATAATTACAGCTATTCGGGTAGGTATACCTGGATAATACCCAGGTAGATACACCCAAGTATTACCTGGATAAGTATATCCAAATATTACCTGAATAATAATATATATATTTTTTTAATATTCGGCACATTTCTTATATGTTTATTGTAAAATATAAAGCTGCAAAAAAAATAGTACTTATTTTACTTGTTAAACATGTACTCTTAGAAAACAAACAAGAATGACTAATGTAGTATGCTTATAAAAAGCTATTATTTTAGTCAGATTAATTAAGTAAAATTTCTACCTATTTGTAAAATTTCTGTTTCTGGTTTGCATATAAAAACATCTTATACATTATTATAGAATGAGTTGTAGTATTAGTTTTATTATTAAGTTCATTATTAGTTATTATTAGTTATATTATTAGTATTATTATATTATTATATTATTATCTTGTATTCTATTATTGTATAT